GACAACAGATTCCAAAAGAAATTTAAACTAGTAAAATAGCTTTAGTTCGCCCGTCCATAGACGGCCAACCTTTAACAGATGTATCGAGCTATTTGGCAACTTATCAGCATGGTATTTTTGCTGATAACACTACTTTATTCACAGTATAGGGTTTATCGAAATAAGACAGCGCAAAGTGCCATTTATTACAGCAACATCAAGCAGACTGCTGGAGCTGTATCCCAGTTTTGTCAGCTGGGTCACTACTGAGACCGCTAGATGCTGTCGATTCTGGACCTATAGTAGATACGATCTATTCGCCATTGAACAAATTTGTAATATGGCTTTTGTTTGTCCGACGAATGACGACCAACCATAGACAGTTATTTCGTGCTATTTAGCAGCTACTCGCCATGGTGTAGGCTTGGTCCCGGTGGGCAGCTAGCTGTGCTCTGCTCTGGTAATAGATGGCATTTTGTACTGCCTTATTTCGATAAACCTTATACTCTGAATAGCGTGTGCGTTGTTCAGCTTCCGTTCGAGAATCACAGGTCCAATAAGAATGACATTTACCATGTCAGCGCAAATATTCGGACTACGTGAGAATGAATGACCACACATGAGTATTTCAGAAGCTATTCATCACCGTTACACGTGGAGGTTTATATGTCCAGGACTAATACGGATGTCAACAATCACTAACAAAAATGCACTCTTGCAGGAGAATTGTCATCTTGGGCAAAAGGGTACAATTCATCATCACGCAGCGTTTGCCACACTTTCTTCTTGGAGACTTGCACTTATCTTGCCACCTCCCCATCGGTTGTTGAAGGATTTTTTTGCAATATTCAATACTGCTTTTTCAGATTGCACCATTTGGGGTTATCTAGGTCTGCCACTGCGCCCGTCTCAACATTCCTGCAAAGGACCTGTACCATATTCTTTTAACAAGGTAATCAAATCCACGTGGCCTTGAACGGTAACGTCTGAGGAAGCTATCCATACTCACGAAGCCTGGGTAGCATCTTTAAGACACTTTAAGCCGCGTACAGACCGAAAATCCAACGCCGAGCAAACGAATGCAAGCACATGTGACGTTGGCGTTTGTTGTAGGAAGGTACTTCAATGCGCTCGTCTACTCGTCGCCTACATCTAAATTTAGTTTCGAGTTGGACCGCGTTGGGTTAAGCTCGGTGCTAATGTCGACGAGTCTCCTCTCATCGAATACAGACAAACGACTAAATACTAGAAGCGCAACAAATCCTGTCCAGACCAAATCAAACCTCCCTTTGATGTACCGATCAAGTAACGAACGCAATCGAACGCCAACGTCGACTTTGGAAATCGTTGGCTTATGTTGGCTCCCGTCGTACACACCGATTCGAACACCGATAATTCTGTAATCACATATCCCTTGGTTTGCATTGGAATCTCGGTCTGTTCGCGGCTTTAAATTAAAATCATCCGACAAGTTCGATATTGCTTTACGCGTATGCCATTTTTGTCTTTTTTCAAAGTGATTGGTAAATAAATTGTTTTGTTTACCTACTCTATCCGCACCTGGATTAAATACTGACGTGTGTGGTGACTTCTCACTTTTGATCTGATCAAGATACAGGAACAGATTAGGTTTTAATGATCTTGCGGAGCCTAGTATCTCGGTTATCTCAAGACTTTGGTGTATACGATATTAGGAGAACCTCTTACTTTTTCGAGATCTATACGCCATGAAAAGGAAAGTTCCAACTTTACGGACTCCCTGTATAGAAGAGACGACACTTATTCAAGAGGAGTTGAGCTTAAACATTTTTGTGTAAAAATGGAACGTCCTTCGCAATACAGATGGTGCCCGGACTAAGCGCTGTATCCGGTTCTGTAGGGCGGCCGGTATAGCGGTGAGTCGGTAGCGCCCGACTGGCAGGGTTTTAGGAGATTACACCGACGGATCGATTTTATTAGCTAATAGTGAGCGCGCTTACACTTATGTAATGACATTCGTACAACTGTAATTTCATTACCTGAATTGTAAATCTGCCGTCCCACGCTGACGATGTCTCCCTAATGAATTAACTTCCACCGTCATTGAACGTAGTGCTCGGAATTTATATATTCTACCGCACGTTGCAATAGTAAGAACTTTTTTGTTGAAAGTATTAATGAAAATGCCTGTAAGTATATTGGAGTTGAAGTACGTGGTCAACTATACTTCTTCCTCTGAAGCTTAAAGCATCACTATACAGGGTGTTTCAGAACTAAGTGGTCAAACTTCTAGGGGTTATTCAGTGTAACAATAAAGAACATATGAGTATAAGGACCCATATCCGGAAAAGTGTCACTACGGCACTACGGCCCTAAGACGCGCTAAATTTTGAAAGACGATGAACTGCCTAAATAGGATTTTGCCTTTTGTACATAATATCATCACAACAACAAAATGTCTTCCTCCAACCTGAATACACCGATTTAAACGTCGCACATGATTTCGGGGGACTTGACTTAAAATTTGACACTCGTTTTGAACGATTTCAAGTGCTGCTGTAATTCGTCCAATTAAGTATTGCTCTGTTTCTACTCGAGTTTCGTAAACCAAAGAGTCCCACAGGAAAAAATCTAGCAACGTTAAATCGAGTGCCCTAGGAGGCCAAGAAACTGCTCCTCCTCTGGAAATACAACAGTGCTCAAACCGCTGAGCCAAATACTCACGTACTTGTAGAGCAAAGTGAGCCGACGCTCCATCATGCTCCACCATATGGAGTGCAGCTACACAAGAATTCCTAGATCCTTGATCTACGTCTCCTACAACCTCTGAATCCAAAGCCTATTCCCAGGAAAGTGATTAATCAACTTACCTGTTTCATACAACATATGGTACCTACGTCTCGGGCAGTTTGTGAACACCGGCATATTAAACTAGTGTACACTGTAATGCCACTAGGATTAGTATAAATCAGTAATTCCATTACCAGAATTCTAAATCTGCCCCTACGTTGATGCCCACTAATGAATTAACTCCCGCAATTCGATTTGTCCGCAATCAATTAATTTTTATCCGTTTGGATAATTGACAATTTTATGGATAGGTGTGTCTGGTTACATTTTCCTAATAGACGGTTGAACACTTATGTTGGTTCGTGAATGTGTATAAATCAAAATTCAGTATCAGGATAAATTACGATGAAATCGCATTATTCAATATAATCTGATATTTGTACCGGGCGTCTCAAAATATTCGGGCAATTAGTCAAAGGGCATTCAGAACTATTCCTTTGATACTTGAGAAAACGCTATTATCGACGGCATTTGTCTATTGAGGGTAGCTTTCATCCTCCTAGGTAAATAATGTATGTCATCATAATTATATTCTGTCAATTCCGTCCTGTCTGCCTGACTGATAATCATTAACCTTTATATTTGAAAATAATTGAAAACGAGTTAGAAATAACTCATGCAATGTATTCGCTAGGTGTGTTACTTAACGGATCTTGGACAGAAGTATTTGTGTTTGGGGTTATTTTACTCATACTTCTAACACAGACTGTCGACATTGTAGTTGTATCTTCAGGCACTGCCTTGCTTTATATCTAAGTTCAACATGCATAGACACAAGTCACACGCCCATAACAACTGAGTTACCATGTTACCGTATTGGGCGTATACTCGTAGTGTCTGCGCGTTGAAAATGTCAACACAACCTGTCGCAATCTTTATGTGCATATCGCTCACGTTTTGTCATGCTTTGTGGGTTTATTAATTAATGATTTATTAACATTATCCAATATTTCTGCTTGCAACTCGTCCGAACTGTCAAAATTGGAATTGTTCACAGTAATGGTGACTATAACAGAGAGAGAGATGCGACATGCACAGAACCTGGAATTCATTTTCTGCACAGTGTACACACGAGAGAGATGTCCTATGTACCGCAGTGTATCAACTCACTTCATCGTCGACATTTTTGGCTTCATCTCCCACTACATGGGTCTATTGTCGTTCATTAACATAACTTGGGAATATGAAAGGAAACATTTGTGCCACCTGGTTGGTATGAAAAGCAGTTCTTAGCTTATACCCGCCAAGTTAAATTATTATTATTATTATTATTAGGTATTAATTCCTAGACTAAATAAAAGTATCAGCCAAAGATCACTCTACTTTTTATGCTCAAAATTTTATAATGTTGTGCCTGAAAACTTTAAACATATAAAATGTAGAAAACGTTTAAAAACTAATAAATTTATGGATTATAAATCGTCTAAGGCTACAAATCCATAAGTTTGTAGACATTAAAAGCCGGTATGTTATTTGATGATAAATTGATGCAAATTTATACGTTTGACTAGTATACTTAGAAGAAACTTACTCTATTAATATAATTCAAGTTCGGTTAAAACCCAAGCATAAGTGTACACTTTTTTGGGTATATTATGTTTATTGAACACTGATGTCGTTATTGTTTATACGAAAACGTTGTAGCTGGACCATTAAACTTTATTATTATTATTATTATTTCTCGGACGAATAGTTTCTATGACACATTGTTATCAGCATTTAGTTAATACAGGCGTAAGCGTTTTGAGGAAATAAAATGACATTAGTAGTGATCAAAACGGAAGATAATTTTTGCGCAAGAGCACTTAACTCCCGTTGTCCTAGTTTTGCTGAAAGCGGAAGGTTAGAACATTTTAAATCCCCATTGCACATACGAAGCACACGTGAATACATGAATTACAAGTACGGCTGGCCACATCCACGGAAACTTTTAATCCTGTTTATTCAGGAAGTAGGGACTCTGTTTAAAATTCTAACATGTAAAACAATAACCTAATCTGGTTAGTCCTCGAAAAATATCCGGTAAATTTAAACGGTTTTAACAGTATTGTCTGCGGACTTCAGGAAACGGACTCTAATGCGAGAGACGATTTAGGGAAATATTGGTATTTTGACTTTTGCATACAATGGATGTAAAGTTTTAAGCTCTTTGAAATAATGTAAATTTAACATTCAAATGAGTCTGCATATATTTAGATTTGGTAGGGTTGCAGCTTATAAGGGTCGTCGTTTAGTGCGTGAAGCTCGAACACTTCAGTTTGTCTGATGAATAAAATATAGTATATTTTTTTCAGAATTACCTACCTTGCCACAAGCTGGTGTTTGAATGCGTGATTTATGGATAATCTCAAGAATATTCGCTGAAATCGTAGCATTAGCAGTAAGTAAGTGATATTAGCTAACAAGGCAGAGGATCAAAGCAGGTCTTAAGGCACAGTTGATTTGGATCTGATGCGAAGGAGAACCGTGCTTAACATTTACATTTTTTGCTACTAATAGCTGCACCCCAGAAGTAAGGATATTTTTCCGTGCGTGGGTCTGTATAGGTATATGATCTAGACAAAAAATTCTGTTCCACGGGCTATCGGCCAAACAGCTTGATGGATTTTGACATATGAAGTATTGTTGGATTTGACGAGTGACGCTAGGTGTACTAAAATATAAAATCAAGATGGCAAATCTTAATCGAAAACTTTCCTTGAAATTTATATTCTACAGGCTACAGCTTAAACAGCTTGATGAATTTTGAGAATATCAATCTGTATATCTGTATTAATGAATCAAAACACAAAAGCATTGAATTACATGGTTTGTTGGTAGAAGTCTGATTTTACGACAGATTGTCAATAATCCTTTGTTTGTTTTTTGTTTCGATGGATGACTTGTTTGAATAGAGAAATATCCAATTATTTGGAACAAATAGCTATAACGCAAGAAAGCTGCTGAAGAAACTGGTAACAAACTTATATAAAAAAAGCTAATGAAAATGGGGATTTGATAGTGCAAAAATATAGAGGGCGTTCCACTTAATTTTGTGCGTAAAAGTATATTTTGAGTTTTTGGCTACCCTGTATCGATCATTGAATAAATTAGAAAACAGTATAGATTAGATTGGAATTGAGTAAAGTAAACAAATTGACATTAAATTCATGAGTCCACCTATCAACATAGCAGATATGCAGGCTGTTAAGCTTTGGTGTTGCTTTTAAAAATACCCACTAATTAAACCAATAACCATAGGTATGTTAGATCAATTTTGATATTTTAAAACGATCTTTCGAAATATGTAATAAAAATCAGGGCAGAAAAATCAACTTTGAAATGCGAGTCAAAAATGAATATTATGAATATTTTAGAAATGCCTCGAGATTTTGTCATGAATTCCCCTTAATTATTTCTAACTGTATATAAAATTTCGTTCAAGTTAAATCAATTCCATTGGGCGATATATTTTCTAGGCTACCGGATGTTTAAGATATAGAGATACAAACTAGGGTAAATGGGGGGTAAAGCTGCGCATTTGAGAATCTAAGAGATTGGCTCTAAGATAGTTTCCAAAGTATTTACGTAGATAGACGAAATAATCCGAATGTGCTCAAAATCGTTCTTCTTCCTGACTTTATTTGAGATAAAAAAGTACATCAACTTTGCTTTTTCTCCCCTACATGAAGGTATAATCAGAATTTCAATATGACGTTGCATTTCTTGTCCTCAATCATCAACTTTATTTTTTCTCATAGACGCGATATTGGATTTGAATTCGAAAATGTCATACATTGATATCTATTTGAAAAAACCTAGTTAGGCCAAAGTAACGACATCAGCCAAGTATTTATTCATTTTTTATGAGCTAGGCACATGTTAACAGTCCTTATTTCCGGTTCAATGGTATTATATTATAACTTGTGTTGGTACTATATAATATCTCAAATGTCTAAACAAGCAATCGTACTATAGTTGGTTTTAGCTCATCAAATAAAGAGCAATCTAACGCTAAAACTTTTACATATTATTTAGGGACCGTGTTAAAAACATTGATGGAAATATTTTGCTCTCTGAACATCTTTCATATCTGCCATATCTAAACTGATACTCACGTCTTGCATTCAAATATTCTTAGGGCCAATTTCATCAACAGTAATATTTAACGGTCCCTTGGATAAATAGTTAAAGACCTTATCGAAATGCAATTTGACAGAAGCTGTCAAAGTTCTCTGAGTATCAGTGATTTCTATTGAAATGTTGAATAAGGTCGTGAAAAAATGGTTACCTTATAAATAAGGGTACGTTATATATGTAATATTATGTCTTTGTGCTTTAGAATTAGGATAACTTTCATACAACTTCAAATTTTTATCATTTCAGAAAAGACGGCCAGTTATTTATGCTGTATGATTGTTATGGGGCGTAAAACTATGAATACTGCATAAAATTAACTTTTAGCTTTCTTTTTGGTTTCAGCTCTATTTCGGCAAGTATAGAAATATTTAAATTATTTTGAAAAATCGTGGAGAATGAGGTTATCGGTAAATATTCTCTTTTCGGTAAAAATACCGAAAAATCCGCTTCAAGTCCATGCATAGACAAATTTATATTTTAAATTCTATGCATATTCGTTCATATTCGTCAATATTTCATTTGAAGCTTTTATTTGTCATAAGATTTTAGCAAAACGTAAGATAGTGAAGGCAACACCGCACCTTGCAGCCAAGTTGACAACAACGACAAGCTGTGAAGATTAGGGATGTTTAGATCCACGAAAAGTATCGTTATGTAATGATTCTTATCATTTTAGGAAGTATCGATAATCTAAAATATTGGAATTAAATTATCGATATCCAGCGGAAGGAAACAAAGAAGAAAAGTAATCTGAAGTTAGTCACTCTTTCTGACGCAGTCCGGATCGAAAGATGACGATACTCGTGAAATGTATCGATACACCCAAGTGTCGTATATAAAAATATCGATCAAAAATATCGGGTATGGGAAGCAAAAGTATCGATACTTCTAAATATAGGATAATATCGAACATCCCTACTGTCAAGATGTATCACCCGAGGTACGACACAGCTATTTTGGGGTATCATGGAAATAATTTTAAATTTCCATTTGCATTTTTACAAGTGCTGTGAAACGATTTTGGGAACAATTCCACGAATAGTCTTATAAAACACAGTAGAGTATATTTCAACAGTTGGCGGAGCGTACTCCACTGGGACCAGGGTGTGAAACGGGATATTAATGCACATCTGGCAACCATGTCGCACCCTCAAAAAATGGCCGCTGACAACCACACAAGTCACCGTGTTGTCATTGAGTAGCATGGAATTCAACCGTCTTCAGTGTATATGTTTTGTGACTGGGACCAAGGGTTGATGGATCCCACACATGTGCCACTCGTTGGGGAGTTTTGAAATAATCAGCTGTTATTCAAATAAGGTCTTAATTATATAACCTAGAATGTGTACTCGTGAAAATTTCTAATTTTTTTGCAGGTTTAGGTTTGCTGGTAGCTCTTCGACATATATTTGGGTATTTCTTAATCGCTGTAAATATAGTGTGGATGTTTGTTCAGTTCCTGAACAACGAAAAATATTCAACTTTATGGATGTATGGATATCAAAAAACCTAAATGATTTTGTGGGAATATCATTTTAAGGTGCCATAATGCTGCTGATGAACGAGTAAATGAATGACTGTTTGGAAACGAGCAATATCTATACAATTTTTGGTACACACGGTAGATGATGTTGAATCAGTAAAATCGTATGTCAATTGAAGAAAATAATATAAGCATGAATTAACAATCGACAATATTAAATAAAAATATGAATTGTATTCAAAAACCGAGTACATTTTCAAATTTTGAATAAATTATCTGTAACTTCTTAATATTCAAAAAGCTGGTGATGTTTCAAGGACAAGCTGTCATCTCATACTTTGACAATAGTTTGTTTTCAACATTTTATAGGTATTGGTTGCTGAAATTTGTTGATTGGATGTTGAAGCTCATTCGTTGTATTTGACGTACTGTTACCCTGTAGGTACGAATAACGGACTGTTAATTTGACAACCTTGGTGAAATCCACCTACGGCTGAGGTGTCATGTACAGCGACTCCGCCATGCTGAAACAATGCTTGTTATAGCCATTTAATGGGCAAATTATCGGAACGTCCTTTAAAAATGCTACTCAAATACTGCAGCATTGGTGACTGAATCGGATAAACATGTGACAAACGGCTATTTTCAAAGCCGACTATGGAATCATCATATTCAAATTCTAATTTCATCATCTTGTCACAGTAACAATGTTTGAGCACCTTTTATTTTGAAATATACGGCCCTGAAAAAATAATAAGTTTTTTTCTGAAAATACTCGGAATTGCGAAACTGTTTGAGCACCATTTTCTTAGCTTCTGAAATGCGCAACTTTTCCCTCATCTAACCGACTTCGAATCTCTTACGGTTTGCGAGATACCAATGGTGAGAGTTGAATTTGAAGCACCCGGTATAATGTAATGTCCTTTTTAAAGCATCTGCTTGGGAGTACAAGAAGCCGCGAGTTCAAATGTCATGCGGTTCTGTCGTTTATATTTCCGCAGAACTACGAACTATAACTTCCGTGCCTATGAATGAAAAACATGTTGGAGAAATGAACACCCCTACAGAATGACAGCGGCAAGATGCAACGTTATAGGGATTTCAAAGCACTGAAATCTTAGGAATTCGATTATTAGTTAAAACTCACATGTTCCAGCAGCGGTTGCAGAGCGCGAGAGACAGAGACGAGGCGAGATTCAATTTGAATCCAGAATTTATGATTAAAGTTTGAATGACTTTGTTCAAAATCACTTCAGCCAAATTGTGCACATTCTCTTTATTCAACTAAATCCCAATTTAATCTGGTTTTATGTTATTGGTTAAATTTCTAGTAGATTTACAAGGAATCCACGTTGAATACTTCAGAAGTAAATTAAATTCGCGTAAAGCAGATTTAACTGTAGATGCTGTGCGGGTAAATATATGCAATTAGTTTAGACTTAGTAAGTGAATGTGGATGGCTGGTGCTGGTTTGGATGTGAATAGTTCATTAGGGCCACCGCACTTTGCAATATTTTGATCATGAGATAGATCGAATGGTCAAAATGTATGTAGAAGGTTTATCAAGCATGTGAGAATTCATCCTTGTTTATGGAATGCGGTCAAGATTTGATTAGTGGTGGGGCCCATACTGTCGTCATGCGCGAGAACGTAGAAGTGAAAAAAAGCGAAAATGAGATACCGTCATTATAATATGGAAGACATGTAGAAGACGTATATTTCGATGATAAGATACAGTATATCTGTAAGGATACCGTAAAAATGCTTATAGGTTTCATATACTTAAGATTATATATGCAAAACGTGCGATGAACAACATAGCGTAGTACTTACTGTCATTAATTAAAAAAAAAACTGCAGTTGAGACAATTCTGGGGTAACGGTAAATGCTTTTTTATACAGAATATGTAGATTAATTAATTAACCCGTTAGAAAATATAATCATTTTTAAACGGATGCAAACTAGAAGCATTTCTTTTCCTTAAACGGAAAGGAGTAAAACACGTTTTCATCGCTCCTGTAAAATGTGAAATTAGCAGATACCATCTTCTGGCTTATTTCGGCAGTATAGATTTCAAGGAACAGGTGCATGGACCAAAAAAATATGGGATTGTAGGTCCGACTTTTTTGGAATCGTACAATAAGCGTGCTTTTTCGAAAATAAAACGTAAAATTCTACTCTTGAAGCGAAAAATTTTTGGAGGAATGTTGGAAAAAAGTAAACATGTATTTCTGTACGAGGATCACTAGAGACCCCTATTAGTCTAATCATATGAGCAAATTTCCCCGAAATAATTGTAAAGTCTGTTTTTACTGGTGCAAGTTGTTCAAGGGGGTATTTAAAACATGGACTCATCAAATAGGTACACCAATTTTTGTGGGAAAACTTTTTATTTGACAACAAAGGAAGGGAAAACGTGTCTTTTGGGATTCAATCGAAAGTGTTGACACGAACAAAAAAAACTCAACAACAAAAGTCTCATTAATTTATATATATTCAAAATTAACAGTACTGGTAAAATAGTCAGTTTTGCAGACGATACTGCTATACTCTATAAAGGTAAGGATTGGAACGACTTAAAAGATATTATCCAAAATGACTTTTGCAAAATTATTCAGTGGTTTAATAACCGAAAATTAACAATTAACTTTACTAAAACTCATTTTTTACCATTTTCATCACTATCTAATCATCTACCAAAATATAACCACCTTCGGTTTAAGGTAAATGATAAAAATATAAAAATCAATAGAGTTAATGGTACAAAATATTTAGGAATTTATCTAGATCCCCACTTGAGATGGGATGTACATATTTCTCACATACTAAAGAAAATTAGATTCATAGCATATAAAATAAAATTTCTAACCGGTATATTAACTGAATATTATCTACGAATAATATATCAAGCTTTAGTCGAGCCACACATAACATATGGTATAGTAGTGTGGGGTGCTGCATGCACGACATACTTTAACGATTTAGATGTACTTCAAAGAAGAATTTTAAAATCAATGTTAGGCAAATCAAAATTATACCCAACTAATGACTTATATAATGATGCACAAGTATATGATACTAAACAACTTTACTTCTTACATACCATCACTCATTATCACAAAACTATTAGTGAACACGACATAATTAAACATAATCATAAAACCAGATATAAATTACGCGCAAAAAATGTTCCTAAACCAAACAAATCCCTAATGAAACGATGTCACCTGTATATAGCTCCAAAATTGTACGAACATTTACCAAATAATTTAAAACAATTACGCAATACATTAGGCTTCAAAAAAAAATTAAAAAAATTTATTAACACGATTGGGAGAAATCAAATTAATAAAATAATCTCAAATATTACACAATAAATGCTCTACCATTCTTACCAATCATTTCTTTTTTCTCTCTATTTTATTATATTTTGCAATTCAACATACATATGATCCATGCACAGGCGTTGTCCTCCTATGGATATATTATATTTATTTACTCGTTTCATGTTCCCTGTATTTTAGAGTAAATAAATATTATTATTATTATTATTATTATTAATACCTAAAAATCTTATATGAACATTTTTCAATTAGTGTCAACACTTTCGATTGAATCCCATAAAACACGTTTTCCCATTCTTTGTTGTCGAATAAAAAGTTGGGGTACCCATTTTATACGTCCATGTTTTGAATACCCCCTTGAACAATTTACAGCAATAAAACCAGACCATACAATTATTTCGCAAACAGGAGTATTTTCGTCTAATATGATTAGATAATATTCTTAAAATGCAAACCGACGTCTCTTCCCGTACATTTTGAGACCCATCACAAAATAAATATTTATTTATGCCTTTCGATACCAAATACAAATTTGAATTTTTTGAGGTTTCCAGTCTGAATAATTACTTCAAAAGATTTCTCACACATACAGGGTGACTTCGAAGTTGAGGCATTTATTTTAACAGTGAGTAGATCTGATCAAAAGAAATGTTTTTTTCCTTTAACATTTTTCTGGTAAAATTAAAGTAACAAAGTTATAGCCCTTTAGAAGTTTGAGTACCGCCCTGTCTCAATAATAATATTATGTGCTCGTGTTTGGCAACAACGGATATAATCCGCGTTATCGGTTCATCGCATCGGAAACAAAAAAGCGAAAGAATTTGAAACGTTTATCACGATGTTTTTCGTCAGTCGGTAATGCGTGAGTGAATAGTGGTGTTTGTTGCGTGGCTCAAACGAAATAAAAAATAACACATGTTTACGAAAATGCTGAACTTGTGGACATGATTCTTATTTACGGGGAGTCTTTACAAAATGCTGCCGCGGTATCACGGATTTGTGCGAATCGGTTTCCCAATCGAGTGCAACCAACCCCTCGTGCGTTTGTTAATGTAGTACAAAGGGCTCGTGAATCAGGAGACTTAAGACCTTACAGGGGAGGGCCTGCCGGTGCTCCAAGACCGCACGATCAAATACAGGTCCGCACTGAAATACTTGTCGGGAGGATACTTTATAACACAAGGTAACATTTTTTTTAATGGTTTTTTATTTTTACACACATATTTTGGTTTATCTTCCTTCTACAATCATTATCTGAAAATTAATGACTCAACTTCAAAGTCACCCTGTATCGACGTCTCATAGCGAGAAGAAGTCCGTTCTGGCATTTCCGGGTATTATGTAAAAGTGGCATTATATAAGTAGGACCTTTGTGACATTATGCAGGTTTTCCTATCAGATGTCAACTAGAAACTAGATTTTGTTACTTGATGTGCACTCGTTGTATGTGTAGGTATTACCCTAAACGTCATGACGCTCGAGCTATCATGGTTTGGCTCTGATGTGATGATGCAACATCTATTTCAGACAGGTCCAAGCTTCAAGTTGTATACTATACCTGGAAGGAAACGGGCGAAACGGCAGTGGCTAGATGCGAATAGAATAATCTGTGTTGATGACCATTCTCTTGGTTTCTAGTCTCATCTGAGATGTAGGTATGCAAGGCTGAAAATTAGTTGCGCATCCACTTTTTCTTATTCATACTGGAAATTACGTATGCAAATATCTTGCATTTCAAAAAGCGAGAGACAAAATAAGTAATTTCCTGGTTGGTGGAGTATATATATATATATATATATATATATTTATGAAACTTGAATACGTCAAAATATTTTATACTATTTTTATTTCCAGTCAATTAAATTTCCAGTGTGTGATGTGTCATTCCTAATTTTTCTATCATATGGCTTTGAAGGTAAGCAAATATAACTATTTTCTAAAATAAAGACGAAGGGTCTGTCAGGATACAAAATTTTGTTCATAATCTGGTACCATATTTTTTGGGAAAATGCGTTACCGAATTTAGTTCTCAATTTTTTTACAAATTACAATCCTGTCACGTAAAGCAATTTCTGTAATAAATGTCGTACGAAATCATGCGCAGGCGGTAGAAAAAAACTAAAGCTGTCAACTTCGAACTGCCATTTATCACGTCAAAGTCATACTAAGCACACTTTTCGTTGCGGCTTGCTACTTTATTACTTTAAACGACTAGATTGTAGAAAATCGAGCGATCTCGTAATTCACGTATATCATATGCGACTGTGCGACAAGCGATCTGCGTTGTAGCTCCCCACCTCATGAAAAAACGAAGTAAACGAAACCGTAAAAGAATTTGATGTCGAAAATAGACCGGGGAATGGGTGTGCTCCAGATGCTGAAAAAAGGACCTCTAACGGTAGATCCTCTGGCTTATAGACCTAATTGGTTATACAGTCATTCTGATTTTATCTAACGCAGCTTAACGTATGCCCTAAAAGTTTTGGCACAAAATGTTTATCAGATTTTTTTTAATGAAGAAATTTATTTCAAAACTAACTAGTTATTATAAATTATAACTCAATGCTCAATTAAACTGTACTAGCGAATTACGTGGAGTGGCCCATTCTGCTCTACCAGACGCAACTTCCTTCGGATGTCTTGCATGGGATTCTGGACAGAATTCAGATCAATTTCTCTCAGTTATTCGTAAATTCGTCGTCTTAATTGATCTTGGGCTTTACAGCCTCCGTGATAAACCTTCCTAGACAGTAAAGCCCAAAAATCCTCGATTGGGCGAACCTGCGGCAAGTTTGGAGGTTTATCGTTTTTGGGAACAAAAGGAATGATGTGTTGTCGAATCAAGTTTTGGGTATCTCTTGAGTAATGTCATGATGCTAGGTCTGGCCAAAATATGATATGGCTATTAGCACGATGTTCCTGGACAAACTGAAGCAATT